GGCTGTCCCCTTTGCAGGCTGTCCCCTTTGCAGGCTGTCCGGGGTGTGCTCTGGCTGTCCCCTTTGCAGGTTGTCCCCTTTGCGGGCTGCCCCAGCCCCTCTGCCCTCCCCGCTGTGATCCGAGGGGGTTCCACCCCGAGCCAGGGCACGGTGCTGAGCAGGGCAAGGACACGGGGAAATGAGGGAACGTTTCAGAGCACTGAGAGCTGCGAGGCTCGGCGGGAGGTGGGGAAAGCCCCAAATTCAGATCCCTCACAGCTCAAAGGACAAAAGGCACMGGAGGATCAGGGTGGGCAGCCCGGCTCTGGAGCTGTTTGTACCCTGGGAATTCAGGTTACAAAACACAGGAGTGAGTCACATATGGCAACAGACCAAAGCAGGCTTTGGTCAAACCCACATTCCCACAAATCACAGGGGAACACGGCTCAGAGGGACCGGGATTATTTCTAATTTGCAGCAGTCAGTGAGATCAGAATCTTCCCTTAAGATTCTGCTCAGTCATTACTCGTCTAAAGATGCCAAAGCTGTCAGTAATTCCCTAAGACTCCATGCCCTGGCTCTGCCTCGTGCCAGGCCACCCTTTCCTGGTCCCACTGGAATTTAAACCATCAGATCTGGCTTGCAGGATTCCTTGGGAAAAACCTCCAGTCTTGGTTAACTCAAGGATATTCAGGGTTTGCAAAACCTCAGCCTGAAATTCACCTTCTTAGGGCCACAAGGAAACCTGGAGGGATAAAAATGATTCCTAAAACATGGGATTCAGTAAAACCCCTCTGCATCAARTAGCTGGGACATGCCTTTACTTCTCCTATTTGTCTTAAGAGCAGCACTCTCAATAACAACCTCTCCTTGCAAGAAAACATGTACCCACACTTCATATAACAGAACATTTCAAATATTCACTCCCTAAGTATTTTTTTGCTTGGTTGGGAATTTTCTTCTCCTTTAAAAATCTTTTTCCACCATCTCCTCACGAAATGTGAGTAAATTTAGCAACGAAAACGCAGCTTCAGATCAGAGAATCAGCATCATCAGTCTCGAGATGCTGGGGAAAAACAGACATTCCTCCAAATGAAAGATTTCCACATGCTGAAACATTCAGCCACTGAAATMATTTACCGAGTGCCAACGTGGTGGGAATGTGGGATCAGCTCTATCCAGTGCCCTGGATGGATTTCTGGTGAACAAAAAGACTGAAATGGTACTTTTTTTACTCTTGGTTGCTATTTTCTTGTAGTCAGTGCTATTTTCAGRGGGGCTCAGGAAGGCTGGGCTGTGCCTGCACTCTGGGCTGGCTGGAGCCACTGGGATGGACAGAACAGGTACAGGAAAGTCTGGGCAGGGCAGGAGCAGGGCCAGGAAAGCTGGGAATGACAGCTSTGGGCTCTCTGGCTGGTCAGGGAACTGCACACAGACTGGACAGGCCTTGTGGCAGCACAGCAGTGACAGCAAATGGGAGCTGTGGTCTGCTCCTCAAACCAGGAATGTCCCTTCCCCACAGCCTGGAGAGCCTGGGGACACCTCCCTGTACCCCAAAACTGCACAGAAGTCAAATATCTGAGCTCTCAGGGGCTGGGTGAGAAGCCAGCACCGATGATCCCCATCCTAGGGASATTGCTGCAGCCCCTGAGCGGATCTGGGGTGTGCAGTGCCTCAGAACACCTGCACACATCTCAGCAGATCCAAGCAYTTCCAAAAGAGCCAATCTTTTCATTTCTCCCACTCTCTTCCTGCGTTCCACTGTGGTTCACTGCTGGGTATTTTGGGTTTCTGTGCATCCTTCTGGCTGTTCCATGGACAGCTGTGGAGTGGGGGCTGCATCTGATGATGCAGAACTGCTTCAGAGGAAAGAATTGAGCATTGAAATCCTCTGCTGGGTCCAGCTCTCATCCTCGAGCTTCTCATCCAAAATAATGACTCTCCTCAATCCAAAATACAGAATAAAATGGGCAAGGAGGGTGTTTTCCTTTGACCAGGAGCTGCATTCCCATCACATTTCTGAGCACACCAATAGCAGGCTTTGCTATGTTATGAGGAGCTGAGGGATGCTGCTGCAATAATGTGCTCAAAATCTGGAATAGCTGAAAAAAGCCTGGAAGAATCATTTGGCAAGTTCTTGAGGACAGGATGGAGATAAAGAATGGGTGCTGCTGAGCAGGAATGAATTATCAAGGATATGGCTAAATAAAAATGAATTATCAACTGAGCTAATGGAAGAGAAAAAGAAGCAATTCCACAGRTCCTGAGTGGAGGTCACCTTGGCTTCCCACTCCCACATGAATATTCACTGAGTGGGAATGGATGTGTCCCTAATGGAGATTTATTTACAGGCAGGGTCTCGCAGCTCCTTACAAATGGCCCCCATTAGCTCATCCCACAGCCCACCCCGAGGCTGAGCATGGAGCTGATGCTCCTGCAGAGCAGTTTCCTCWCTCTGAAATGGGTCTGTGTGGCAGTGAGAGATGCTCCTCGGCAGTAAAACAATCAAACACATGGTCTGTGCTCTCTGCTCTCACAGGCAGCCACCATTCCAGAGCCAGCTCTGATTGCTGCCTTTATGGGTTTTATTGGCTGCTTTATCACCACATTCAGGGCTGAAGCCAACCTCCATCCCAGAAATGAAACTAATTCAGCCAAGGAGGAYACAGGTGATGCACCTGTATTCATCTCTCTCTCCTCCCAGCCTTCACAGATCTTTGCCAGAAATAAAATAATTAAAATATGAACGCCTCTTTCCCCTACACTCATTTACACAGGCTGATCCCAGTGATGGAATGTGGAGTTATTTCAGACTTCACAAGTGAGGAAGCAGAAAGGCTGCTCCATCACTGATTATCTCCTTGCTGAACACATGGACTGATGACAACAGCGAGAGGATTTACAAAAACGTTTGTCCTCAATCTGCTTCAAAGCCCTATTTACGGATTACTTCCATACAATAATTTTAAAAAAACAGGGACGAAAAGAAAGGGAGAACATAATTTTAGTATGGCTTTTCTTCCAAACACATGGCACCAATGTAGAGACTACAGGCCTGCTGGTGAGGAATCCTTCTGCTGACTCTGCCTTCCCTGTGCCTCTCAGCTCCTTAATTACACCATCACTACACACAGGGCTGCTTCAGAAATATCTTTAAGTGGGAAGTCATTTATAAAATGCAAATAGCATCTCTGACTCCAGTTTAACAGTTTGGCTTCCAACCATAAAGCAATCACCGAAAGGATTTTCTCCATTTTCTTCACCTGTCGCAATTTGGTCACAAAAAAAACCCAGGATTTTTTTCTCCATCTTTCCCTCCTTCCTCTCCACTGAACACAGCACAGAGGCAAAATGCACACGGAGTCTGATCCAAGCCTCACCTACTACCAGCACTGCAATCACAAGAGTCACTCCAGGTTTCTAGTGATGAAATTGGAACTGGACCCAAGATTTCATTCAGGGCACCAGTGATGTTCAAGCACCACCCCAAAGTCTGTGACTGYGCCTTCTCCACCCCAGGCTTAATCCCAAACTGTGAGAAATGACCTTCAGGGTCTTAGATAATTCAAGGACAGCCTGGAATTGGCTCTTCCCAGGTTCCCAGCCCAGGTTTACTGTACCTCCCAGTCCAGGACAGAGGCCTGCCACTGAGCTATCTTGTCGATGTTCTCCAGCCGCCGCTTGCGCTCGTTGATCTGGAGAGTCACGTTCCTCATGACGGCCAGGGCAGCAGCCACGTACCTGTAGTCACTGGGCACAGAGGGACAGACCATCAAAGGGAGAAGGACAAGCCCTGGAGTCTGTCACAAYCTCCCCAGCCCAAAGGAACTCAGCACTATGATGGAATTTTCCCATCTGGATCATCACAACGGAGCAGCTCGATGGAAACTGGAATTGGGAGCCCAGTTTGGCCACTAATCCCAGCACCTGTGAGCCCTTTACAGCCCTAAGGGGCCCAGCTAAAGAGCACCCTRAAGACAGGCTGGACACTTTTAGAGCCTCTGGGTTTGGGCTTGGATTTTTCTSGTTTTAAAGTGAACATTTAGAAAATATTTTGTTTCATTTTCACCTCCCAAGCAGTAAGCGGACCCCCAGACTGCCCCAGAGCAGCTACCCCAAGGAATCCACTCTCACTGCAGGTTTCAGGGGAGCAAATCAAAGCAACTGTTCCTTTTTTCCCCCTGGCTGGCCCTGTGAGTGCAGTAACACGGAGGGAGAGCAGGCTCCTGCCAGGGCCACTRAGGACGATGATCAGTCTTTTCAAAAAGTGATGCTGCAATCGATGCCATYGATTTCTGCCCCGTGCCTGCTCTTCCATTCCAAGGAGCTGCACTGCTCATTCCCGTTGGGAACACAGGCAAGGCCAGCTGCCACAACGCCACCATAATGCATTATTAACTGAAGGGCTGCTATTGATTGCTGACTAATGAGAAAAACTGCCATCTTGGGCAGCTGCAGGGGGAATGGCTTTATTGATTATTGCTAAGGATTGTGCTGCTGACAGCTAAAACTGGGGTGAATGCTAGGAATTAGATCCCCTCTCCGCGTGATCCCAACAGGATAAATACTAAGGAACAAATACACAGTGATAGACAAAAACCATTATTTGCTCTTTTGGCATCCTTGCTTGGATGAAATCTTGAGCCGAATTGTCTTTTTTTCTGAAATTCTTATGTCAAAATTCTAGAAATTCCAAAGAATGCCACAAATGCCAGGACGGCAGGACTGGTCCTTGGGCAAAATAAAGGAAAATAGAGGATGGGCTGCCTGATACATCCATCACAGGGTCACAGAGAGCTTTGGGTGAGAAAGGACCTTAAAGCCCATCCAGCCGTGGGCAGGGACACCTTCCACTATCCCAGGGTGCTCCAAGTCCCATCCAACCTGGCCTTGGGCACTTCCAGGGATGGAAATGATCATGGTACACAATGAACAACTTCTTATGCCTCCCTGAGTGGGAGSATCTGTGTGAAGGGAGCATTGGCTGTGTAAGGGAGGAAAGAAGCTGTGCCGGGGACATTGGGGCRTTCTGCAGAATATCCATGAGTTCTTGTAGGGAAATGGGAATTCCCTGTGGCCAGGAGGGATCTGCAGAGGCAGGGAGAGGTTCACTGATTGTCCCCCAGTGATGATGCTCCTGCTAAGCAGGGAGGGCACTCCTTGGCACAGTCTCCAGYGCAGTGTACCCACATTCCCAGCTCCAGCTCCTCCTGCTGTGGGAACACTCAGGACTCCAGCAGGCTRCACTTAGGACCTTCCTATATTTAATTCATATTAAGCTGGAGTAAATCTTTCAGAGGTGAACAGATGTRGCTTTGTGAAAAATTCAAATGAAGCAGGCTGCAAGCAAGCAGCAGTTGGAGAGAGGCAGGCTCYGAGCGCGCCCCCGTCCTGCTCCGTGTCGCTGCCAGCCCGCTTTATCCCGGGAATGCAAATTCCCTAATTCCAGTGAGAAAACCCCAGGCACGTTCTTCTGTCACGCTGTAATGGAGAAAAGGCTCGGCACTGAACTTTTTGGGCTCCCAGCCCATGTCTGTGGCAGAGCTGGCAAAAACTTGGAAGTAAAAAATAACGGAAGCGAAGCGTTCAGCCATAATAGGATATATGGCAATAATAGGATGCCATGAACTGTGAGATGAAGGTAAATAAATGGTTTGTCAGTTCTATTGGGGCTGYAGGGACCACTTCCCAGTGCTCCTGCAGAATCCAAGCCCAGATCCTTGCCAAGCATCATGTGCTATCTCTGGGGAGGGTGGTCAGGATTCTGTCTCAGCATTGTCCTGACTTGGTGCAGGGAAAATCCTTGGTGCAGGAAACAACTCTGCAGGTGTGGGGGTAGTGAAAAGGAAGGCAAAAAAGAACAAGAGTCTCATGTTCCTGTGTGAGATGAAGCTCACATCATCTTCCCCTGGGAATCCTGGGGTTTGCCCTGTTTTGTCTCACCCCAGGGCTGGGATATGGCACACCCAGGTGTGATCCCCATGCTGTCACAGCTTTGGGGTGACTCCTCCTGAAGTCAGGTGAGCAAAGCTCCCCCTGCCCTCCCTTCCCAGAGCACAGAGAAATGGGAGGAACAGAGTGCCCAGGGCTGGCACAGCAATCCAGTGACAGAGCTCTCAGGCTGAGTCAACCAACTGCTGCTGACCCACAGAAGGGCTCCTCAGAACACACTGGGTGTGATTACTGAACAACTGGGAACATCCCAAAGGGACAAGGGCCAAAACAACGCAGCCCTTATGATACCACACTGCCCACATCCCCTTTGCTGTGGCTTCCAAACAACTCACACAGGATCATTCTGGACACCTTCCCATTGGGAAGCCACATCTGAGCTCCCAGGCAGTGCTGTGGGTCCTCAAATGGCTGCTGAGGGAAAAACCCACACCCTGTGGGATCCCAGAGCTGTGATACCCTGAGGTTCCCACGAGTCCATTCCAAGTTCCATTTGGTCTTTGGAAAAGCAGGAATTGGAGCTGGTGCCAAAGGCTTGTCCAAATTGGTGATTTTGGGCATGTGGCTATCCTGAATCACTCAGACTTGTGGGTGAGGTCAAAGCAAATCAATGCATCTCTGCTCACTTCACACCTCTGCACTTTTAGARATGGGCTTAGAAAAAAACAAGCAAACACTTGTAGAAGTTTCTGAAATATGTGTGGTSTTTTTTGTTCTCACTTGCTTTTAAATGGGTTTTGGAAAAAGAAAGAAAATTGGCAAGGCAGGAGCACATCTACTCTTACARGGCCTGCTTCTTCTTTCACCTTATTTTTACAGCAGTAAATCCCAAGGGGTATCACAGGCACTGYTCCTGATTTACACTGTCAGGGAGTCAGCCTGATTGTCCTCAGCAGCAGCAAGAGAGATCCTGGAAATTTTGGGAAGCAATCCAACTGCGGGTGCTCCTCTGAACCTAAACCYTGTGGCAAAATCTGAGATGGGACTGGGCTGAAAAGCTGAGCGGGTTTGGAGCTCTCCACAAACCAGGCTCCACACCTCRCTGTGTGTCCAGGAGCAGGGAAGGAGCCTCTCAGACCACTGAATGCTAATGAGCCAATTTTTCTCGTGTAACTGGGAGCATAAGAAAGTACATCCAAGGGTAATTAGTTCCCATGTCTGATTAGAACAGGGCTGAGCGTGTCTCCAGCGAGAATTGCTGCTTTGAGCAGTTTGAACCKCCTGCTGACCCTTTGTCCCGCTCCCATTTATCCGGGATGTCACGGGCACAGGAGCTGCATGGAAACCCCAAGCCCTGAGCATGAAAGCAGCACTGGAACCCCGAGCTGCTGCCTTACCTGTGCTCCTGGGCCGTGTACTTGAGCAGCTCTGCCAGCTGCAGGGGGTACTTGCAGATCTTCTGCACGGGCGTCAGCAGGAAGCCGTCGATGGCGATGTCGATCATCTGCTGCAGCAGGCGGCACGCCTCGAAGAAGTGCTGGTACCTGCTGTCCTTCATCAGCTTGGAGAGCTCCATGCACGCGTCCAGGTGGTTGTTACAGTACTCCGAGTAGATCCAGAAGCCATCTTGCTGTGAAGGCACAATGAGGGGGACAGGTCAGGCAGCGCCCTGGCTGCTCAGCACCTCACCGGGGCTGGGAGGGCAGGGTCAGATGRGAAATTAGGGAGAAATTCCTCCTGGGAGGGTGGGGAGCCCTGGCACAGGGTGCCCAGAGAAGCTGTGGCTGCCCCTGGATCCCTGGAGTGTCCCAGGATGAGACTGAAGGAACCTGGGCTATGGGAAGTGTCCATAATAGGTGGGACGAGATGGTTTTTAAAGTTCCTCCCAAACCGCCAAACCAGTGTGAGATTCTAAGGAAGCACACCCCAAGCAGCAGGAAGGACAGATCCTACAGCACTTATCCTGGAAAAGGAGGGACTGCAGAGAGGGAGCAGCACTGGGACACATGGCCTAGGTCTCTGCAGGTACAGGTGTGTCAGTGTGAGCCCTGCACTGAGCTGGGGCTGCTCTCAGCTCCAAACTGTGCAGGAGGGGTTTCTTCAGCAACGGCAAAGGCAGAACCCAGCAGAGCTCTGGCTTTTGGTGAGACAAGGGGGCAACCTTGTTATTTCTAGAGCTCTTTCCCTAAAAGATCATGAAGCACCTGGCAAATGTTTGGGAGCTGRGAATGATTGAAATTCCCTTTATCAACAGGGAATCCAAGGTACCAACCACTGTGTGGATCTCCCCAGGAACAGAACCCCAGAAAACACCAAAACCAAACAAAAACCCCACTCACACATATGTGCCTCTACCTTTTACACTGGTCTAAGGAGTTTTTTGATGTCTGTTTTGTTGGAATTTCCTTTTTCCACCCTCACTGATCACAGACTGACACTCTTAACTCAGGCTTCATTCATCTGGGTCACACAGACATGGTGATGAAAGGGCAGAGGAAGATTTCCCTGGGAAGGAGATGGACACAGCCCAGCACCACAAATGAACACTGAGACAGCCCAGAGGAAAGTCAGGTGCTGCAAACCAGCCAGTTCCACAGAGCTGTGGCCAATGCCTTCCAGAAAAAGGACASATTTTATTCAGCCAAATATTCGCCTGCCTAGCAATTGAGATTTCTCAACCCTGAGGGCCCAGACAAGCTGCTTCTCTGGGAACAGGGACCCATTGTCCTTCCCAACCCCACAGCCAACCCAGCCACGCACTGACAGCTCTCTCTTCCCAAAGAAAATGAGGAACAAGATGTTTTGCAGATCCATAAACAGGATCTTAACGCCCTCACCCCTCATCTTCCCAAAAGGCTAAGCAAGGGATAATTTATCAGGAGTTTATCAGCCAGCTTTCAGCCCCTGCCTGGTGACAGGCGAGTGTCAGATCTTCCTCCCAACAGCAGCAGCAATTCTTGCTATTGTCACTATCAATGAATTGACAGCACAGCCTCAAGTCATGACATTTTAGCTGCTGATTCTCACCACGATTTCTTACATCTTCGCAGCACAGAAGGGGAACGTGGCRCTGCTTTGGAAGGAGGCAGCACAGATTGTGGGCTCTGATGAGAACCAGCCATGTTAACACCTCACACACCTGAGAAACCTCAAGGAGAGGCCCAGGGATGCTGTGAAACTCTTCAGGGATGTCCTGCTCAAATTTCAGGAATGTCTGTCAGGAGTTTTCCTACTAAGCAGTGAGCTGGTGCCCTGACGCAGCACAGGAGCTGCAGCACCTGCAAACTCTGACCCTGCACCTCTCTCCCTCCAGGAAAGCCTCCAGCTCCAGGGCTGCCATGTGCCTGACACTTCCTGATAGATTTACACCGGCCAATTCATCAGCCCCTGCAGGAGGAGCTTTATGGGACAGTGGGAAGGGCTGGGCAGACTCCTCCAGAACCTTCTCATCAGTGGGATTCAGATGTACTGGGGGTTATCCAGCTGCCTGCTCCAGGCTCTCCCTCCTCTGAATCTCACAAAGTACAAGGAGAACCACGGAACAGTCCCTGATACGTTACCAGAGTAGTGGGATGCACAAGAGTTGTCCTGGGTGGTTCCTGCCTCTTTCTCCTCCCTCCCCATCCCCAAACTCCCAAGGGAAGAAGCCCAAGGAACTCACGTGTTCCAGGAAACATGGCCCAATCTCACTGAGATGGGGRTCCTCGTTGTTGTACTGCTTCTCCAAGTCCCGGACAAATCCCATCTGAAATCTGTAGATGTCTTCGATGTTCCCAAAGATGATTTTCAGCTGCTCATCACTGAACATGTCCCTCCTCTTCCGGCACTGCTTTAGGTAACCCTGTAGGGACGAGAAAGAACGATTTGCAGAGAGCAGCAAAATCCAGAGACAGCCCCAAKGGGGTGTGTCCAGTGCTGGATGCCTGTTCCTGTGCAAAACCCTCCAACACCTCATCCCCAGCTATCCCACAAACACTGCTCTTCCACAGCCCTTCAGTGGCACCTGGCCTTACAGAGAAAGCTGTGAGGGGCTGTTGGAGCCTGYTCTGATTTCTCCTTTCAGCCCAGTAATAGGACAAGGAAGCTGTTGAATTTCTCTGTCAAGTTCTGTGTAATATCTTTGTCAACAACCTGGACAAGGAGATCAAGTGCACCATCAACAAGTTTGCAGCTGATGTGCTGGAGGGTAGGAAGGTTCTAAGCAAATCCCTTCATCCTCCTCCCTCACCTGTGTGGATGACCATTACTGAATCAGAGAATTGTTAAGGTTGGAAAAGACCTTCAAGATCATCAAGTCCAACCAGAATGATTTAGAGCAGAAACTCTGCAAGGGCAGATCTCAGATGGTGCAGCTGGCCTGATGTTCTGCAGCGTCCTGACTGACATGAAACAACATGGGGTCACCAGGAGATGACTTTGCTTACTTTGCTTGCCTTTATTATATAGGAAGAGGAAAAAAATGAAGGGAAGAAAATGCCAGCAGCTCCAGTGGAATGGCTAAATTTGGGAAGTCAGGATGCTTAGTCACACAGCCACGCTGCCAGCTGGTGACATGCAGCTGCTGGGCCACAGTGAATGCTGGAACASTGCAATAAACTGTCCTTCAGCCTCACCACGCGGCTGCTGCGAGGGAGAACTTCAAACAGCAATGAGAAATGTCCATCTCAGCTCACAGGATGCCCTCACCCTGGATCTCCTGGCTTTTTCAGCTGAGAAGTTTGGGTTATGGAACACCTACACTTCCTAATGTAGGGCTCTCTTCCCCCAGGAGCTCCTTGATGAGTCATTTCCCTGGGTTTCCCTCTCTCTCTTTCCAAGGACATGAGRAATGGGAGCTGCTGCCTCCCATGCTGCAGGACGGTCACAGGGCAACCCAAAATCCACACTGGGGCAAACAGCACGGAGCATCTCTGAGCACTTTTCCTGTTTGCCTGCTGATCTCAGAACAGCTTGGGAAAAACCCAAGGAGAAAGCAGGGAGCTGTGGCCGTGCCCTGAGGCCAAGCCCTGCCTTTGCCCCACAGTGTCCCCAGCACTGCCCTGTGACATCCCACCYTTCCCCAGCTCAGGAACACCTTCCAACCCCGCGGCTGCCACTGGCTGCGATTCCCATCCTCACTATTCCCATCCTCCTTGTGCTGCTTCATCATCTCTCTGGAATCACGTGCCTACAGGAGCTGAAGCAGCACATTTCTGCACAGGCACCTCTGTAAGCACAGGGAGAATAAAGGAATGTGTGGAGTTCCCAAGCCTTATCCCCTCTCTGCATTTGGGAGGTGGTTTCCAGCACCAGCCAGAAAAGGGAGACTGAAGATTCCTACTCAACACGCAGCAGAGGCAGCTAGGAGGCTGCTGCYGAGTTTTTCCAGTAAATTTATTTCTGTTACATAAAACAATGTCATCTTCCTTCTGTTCATGCCGTCAGGTTTGCTCAGAGAAGGGATAGCTGACTGATGAGCAGATGTTGGAGAGTGTTTTGCTCAATGAACACCTAAAAATAGCTGCCAAACTCTTCTTTCAAAGTACTTTTCCATGTAGTCCCTGAAGTATTGGCCAAAGTTGGAAAGGATTTGCAGGAGGTTAAGTGCTAAGTTTTCTTCACCCCACAGAGGATTTAGAGACAGCCAAAGAGAGGTGGGCTATCCATCTGTCCATCCATCATCCATCCCTCCATCCATCCATCCATCCATCCATCCATCCATCCATCCATCCATCCATCCATCCATCCATCCATCCATCCATCCATCCATCCATCCATCCATTCAGGGTGAAGGGCACAAGCAGGAGGTCCCAGCCCCTGCAGGCTGTATCTTCCAGGGCCTGGTGATGCTGGTGCAGGTTTTTTCCTCTCTGGTCAGCCTGGGCTGTGTGCAGTGCTCTGTAATCATCCCCCAGCCAGGCCCTGCACCACTTGGGTACAAACCCCTGTTCCCCTTGTCCTCCCAGCACACAGGGGACAGTGCTGCTCGAGGGCACAAACCCACAGTGGGCACAAGAGCAGAGCTCAGACTGCTCAGGAAAGGCAAACCCGAGCCAGGGGGGTGGTCCCAGGCAGCCAGGACTGGCCCACAGCAAGCACTCATGGGCAGCCAAGGGGACTGCACAGAGCCCTGCAGGAACACAAACCCATCCCTCAGCAGGGTGACACAGCAGGGTGACACAGCAGGGTGACACCCAGCCAGCCCCAGCACAGAAATCCCAGGCACAACAAGCAGCTGCAGAGGACGGGCACAGGCTGCACAGACCTGCAGCCCAGATCCCCAGGGATCCACAGAGCTTTGCAGCCACCCCCAGGCTGGTCCCCACGGATGTGACACTGGTCACACAGAGGAACAGCAGCTCCTCAGCCCTGCTGCCAAGGAGGTTTTCTGCTGCTTTGCTCTGAGGCAGCACAAAAAAGCGCTTTCCATCCACCTCTGGGGATGAGTCAGGCTGGAGGTGCCCAGGCCACGTGTTAAACCTGTCTGGCAGCTCTGCACAGATGCAGTGAGAGGACACTTTCCACGCATGGCACCAGGCAAAACCAGGTAGAACCCAGTCAACATTATTAAAAAATTATTTCGAAGTGGAATTACTTGGAAAACAGTGAAAAGCAGCCCACCTCCCTCCTCCACTTGGCTCCTCACAGGTTTCCTTTGATCTCTCACCRTTCCCACCCAAGCCCTGTCAGCTCTCCCTCTCTAACACCTCCTCAAACTGAGCTGTGCCTTCCCAGTCCCTGTGCTGGTCCAGCTCCTGCCCCTTTCTCAGAGCTCCTTGTGCTCCTTCCACCTGCACTTCCCAAACCAAGCCCCATCCCTGTCCCTCTGCTCCCCACGAGGCTCCTGCCACTGTTGCCACATCAGGGACAGACCCTCCTACATCTCACCTGGGTCAAACCCCTTGGGCTTCTTTCCAAGCCTGCAAGTGGCCACACAAACACAGAATCACAGAATTGTTCAGCTTGGAAAAGCCCTCTGGGATCATCAAGTCCAGCACGATTTTTACCACTAACCCATGTCCTCAAGTGCCACACCYACATATTTTCTGAACAYTTCCAGGGATGGTGTCTTACCACTGCCCTGGGAAGCCCATTCCAAGGCTTAAATACCTGTSCCATGAAGAAATTTTTCCTAAYATTCAACATAAAMCTCCCCTGRCACAACTTGAGGGTGTTCCTTCTTCTGTCATGTGCTATCTGTGAGGAGAATGTGGTGCTTTACACAACAGGAGTGAGCAGCCCTGTAAGGCCACCCTAAAAACCTGGTTTCCACTAGTTGATTATTTATTGTATTTGCAAGGTGTAACTGCTAAGCCTGAAATTACAATTGCTCAGTATTTCCTTAAGGGTCAGTTCTTTTTTCCTTCTTTTCACAGAATCATCTTCGAATCCCAGAATGATTTGGGTTGGAAGGGACCTCAACGAGATCTCATCCCACTCCTGCCATGGGCAGGGACACCTCCCACTGTCCCAGGCTGCTCCCAGCCCCAATGTCCAGCCTGGCCTTGGRCACTGCCAGGGATCCAGGGGCAGCCACAGCTTCTCTGGGCACCCTGTGCCAGGGCCTCCCCACCCTCACAGCCAGGAATCCCTTCCCAAAATCCCACCTAACCCTAATGGCAGTGGGAAGCCACTCCAGCTCCTTGTAAACCCTCTCTCTCCATTTTCCTCATCAGCTCCTTCAGGTCCTGGAAGGCCACAATTAGGTCACCCCAAAGCTTCTCTTCTCTAGGCTGAAGAATCCCAATTTCTCCCCTTGGTGAGATTTCACAATAATGATCCTGATAATCCTGATTATTAATCCAAGRAGAGCTCCACATTTCAGCTCCACTACAAATCCTCACAGAAGTGTTCCAGCAGCAGCAGCAGTCAGTCCATGCCCTAAGCCAGGGCACAGCTGCAGCCATGGGGGCAGCAGGTTTTGCTGGGATGAGGAATTCCCTTGGATCCAGCTGCTTCCCTCAGCTCTGGGCTGGCACAGGGGATTTTCACCCTGGGAGGATTTTCACCCTGATGCTGGCCAGCTCCTGAGCTCGTGTCTTGGCCAGACTCGTGCCATGGGTGTTGTGAGCAATAACAGTGTGTGAAAGAACGCGGGAGCAGGGAGTGGAAATGCACCCTGCAGCAGAGGAGAGCAATGAGGGGCTCTTAACCACCATCCTTCAGTAACAGGGGACCTCCCAGCCTAAGGTGCCTCACTGGTATTAGGATTTGTTCTTCAGTCCTGCTCAGCAGAAGAGAATGAGGCCACACTGCTAAACTCAGCACTGGGCCAGGCTCTCCCACCTCACCTCGCTGCCCTTGTCCTTCCTGACAGCCCAAAACCGGGAGCAATGGGCAGAGGGGAACGTGCCCCTGTCAGAGCAGCTCAGGGGCTGTGATACTGATTTCCACTAGYTGATTATTTATTTCATTTGTAAGGTATAACTGCTAAGCCTGAAATTCCAATTGCTCAGTATTTCCTTAAGRGTCAGTTATTTTTTCTTTCTTTACATAGAATCGTCTTGGAATCCCAGACTGGTTTGAGTTGGAAGGGACTTCAAAGGTCATGGGCAGGGACACCTTCCACTATCCCAGGGTGCTCCAAGCCCCAATATCCAGCACCAGCAGCCCTGCCCAAGCCCTGCAGCCCAGTCCAGCCCTGTGTGTCCATCTCCAGCCCCGCTCATGTCACTGTGCTGGAGCTGACGGAGCCGTCTCAGAGCCTCCCCCAGGCTAAGGGATGGCTGTGATTAACCTGAGCACAACCAGTCTCTCTCCAGCCCACAGATGAGAATGCCCATTTCAGCCCTCCTCCCTCGTCAGCTGAATCATTTCCTGATGTTCTATCTGGATGTGAGATTCATGCCCCTCAATCCCAGTCTGCATCACACAGAGCACAGGAAGAGCCTTCTGCATCTCTCCTGGCTGGGACACATCATTAGGGGCAGGAAATCAGTGTTCCCCCACGGATGCCACTGCAGCTGAACCTGTCTGCACCTCCTGAGAATCCCAGCCAGCAGAAACACGGTGACATGGCTGCAGAGGCAAGTTAAGGTTTATTAATTTCCAACAGAAAAGTGCAAGTGCAGGAAAAGAAACAGTATGTGGAAAAGTGCCTGCAACTCTTCCCTTCTCCAGTGCAAAGCTCTCTGACAGAAATAGCACATTGAAATTAAGCTCATTTGTTTCCAAATTGAAATCCCAAGACTCTTCCATATTTGAGAAGTGTCATGGATGCTTTTTGGACGGCTGCTCTGCCTCGCCGAGAGAAAAGCAGCAAGCACGATGGGAGGGAGACATTCCTCTAAGCACAATCCACCAGGGGCTTCAGCACATCGGCTGGGCACAGGCCCACTAAATCCTCAACACTGCGAGGGATGAGCTGAAAGGCATCCCCAGACTTGGATTTCAGCACTAACAAACTTGTGTCTCTTGGTGATAAGGAACTCCATACACCAGAGCCATGTGCTCCCCTTCCCAAGCAGCCAGCACCACAGTCTCTGCACTCTGGGCTCAGCTCAGGGCACTAATCCTGACCTTAAGGGCTTGTAGAGGTTCATGGTAACCTAATAAACAAGAACCAAGGTGAGGGTTTGTGAGGTCAGTCACTGAAGCCCATTGCTTGCTGCTTCCCTTCTTCATTTCCCCTGATGAGAACATTTTGCCCTCAGTCTCAYGGTAAAAGAGGCAAATGGGGGCCATCCTGAGCCAGGGGAAATTGTGAACCCRACATGAAAGGCACAGATGACATGGGTAACTGATTGGTTTAATTACAAACTAATTTCCTCAATCACAAGTTCAAAAGTAGATGGCATTGGGTTTTAATTAAGAGGACTGCTTGAAGGATCTCAACCTCATCATGTTTTAGTCAAAGAGCYATGGAATAAAGGTCAGGAAATTGCACTTTCAGTTAATGCAAACTAAAGGAATCATCAGATCCAGCAGGAAATTCTCAGAACTGTCAATACTTATTGACAGATGCTGCTCCTCCATTAGACACAGTCCTCAGACACTGCAGCTTGTTCCCAAACCACCCAGGGACAAAGCCAGGCTCAGCCCTCAGCAGTTCCACTGTCCAGG